TTTGTTTTCCGCAACTGTATTCCAACCTCTTCGCGTCTGCGGCGCATCTCTGTTGAGTCCAGAGCAACATTTTTATAGCGATGTTTATGTGTGGTGGACATTTTATGTCGGTAGCTATTATTTCTGTGAAAGACTAAAAATAATATACTTCTATATCTATGTGATTTAAAAAAATTTTGTTTATGGTAACAGTTCACAATTTTTATTTAAGTTCTGTGGACTTGGGATTATAACAACAGACTTACACCAGAGTCTCTTAATCAGTGCCTACATGGATGACAAAATTGTTTTGTGAATTCAAAAGCTTGCGCATACTAATGCAAACGTGTTGGAATCATATGCATCACGCATGTTATTATACAATTCCGACATGGACGGGTGGTATATACTCGTGTCATACACGAATATACATACATATGAATTGACCTCACTTATAGAGTATAACTGCGTCGACCACTCTTGCATTTACGTTTTCTTGCACCTTCTTTTTACTTCACTCAGGGTTGCCAGCTTACGCAGTTTGTATGAAGAGTCTAGCGTAAGCTGGAAATATTGCAATGAACAAGTATTACTAACTGTTGCTCGTTAATAAAATATTAGATGTAGTTTATAAGCACTTTTCTATTTGCACAGCAACAATCACTTTCACATTTTAATTATTAATACATACGAAAATGCATATATGTATGTGTGTAGGCGTGTAATAGCGTGTGCGTAATGTGTATATGTAGTGTGCGATGGGCTTAGGTCAGCTTCAGCAAATGCTGCGTACTTCCTCACAATTCGCTGTATATAACATTTCTTTTGAGTCCAAACACACTGGCTTTAAGTTACAGCAACATTTGTTATCACTTTACCTGTATTACTGCCAATTTGAAAGGTCTATTTATAGCACAAAACACAAATGCAAATTTTTGTCACGATACGCCACACGTTTTTAGATGGGCGTATAAGGTTGCCAGACTAAATTGATTGCACTACAGCTGATTGTGCAACTTAGTAAGCCTCGATATCGATATCAGCAAGACATTATTAAAATAAAATGGCGCCAACAATGAATGCATCCAAAGATCAACAAACAAAAACTGAAGTCGCTCTGCAACAACAAAAGCAAAAACATATGCAGCTTCTGCACGAATACAACAATCTGAAGGATGCAACCCAAACAGTGCTGGGAGCCTTAGCACAGGCAAAAGGAGTACCTATTAAAGACATGCATAAGATGTACAACCTGCCAGATGGGAAATAATATTTTCAATTGAATAGCATTGAATTATGTATTTATTGTCAAAAATAAAGAGACATCCAGATGCTTGTAAACAGCATTATTTCGTAAAAAATAGCTAGGCAGTTATTGATGATGACATACTATTCATAATTTTACTTACAACTAAAAAATTTAAATTACTGCCTTCATTGCATGCTGACAACTTCATTGTCATATTGTATTACATCAAACAAAATATTTATTCGCCAGCATGAAAATAATTCCTGCAGCGTTCATTAAATGCCTTGTAACTCCGTTCCTTAATTATATCCTCCACATTAAGCTCCGCTTGCAGCACCCTCAACTGTCAAAATAATAAGGTCTTTAATGCAACAAGCAAAATTTAAACAATATGAAAACGTACCTTGCGCTGCTCAGCCTTGAATTTACTATCGGTGTCCATATCATCTGGCTGTGCCTCCCTTTGCTCGCGAAGCTTCTTCAATGTTGCCGCTGATAAGGTTATGCAATTGCGTATATTTGATTGCTGCCCGGATTAAGGAATCAAAATATATTGGAGCTGTGAAAATATGCAATAAATAGTTTTGTATTTACCCGTGCGAGATGTGACTGCTGCAGTTTAGTGTACAGATCTCTGCATGTGCTCTCACTATTCACTTGACCCTTGAATGATTCCGTAGGCAGAGCATTAAGAGCGTAAATAATTTTATCATCTACATCGCGCATCTTCTTTAGAGCCTCCTATTATCAAAGTCATATTGAATGGATACTGCATTTATTTTGCTTATATGTTGTCACTTACTTGAAAGCCCAAAAAGTCAAAGCAAGAAACAGCCATTGAATATTAAAAATTGAATATTATTTATCAAATTAACAAAATAAAAAACAAAAATTAGCCGGCGCAATGTGCGTTTTAACAGTGTTGCCACATTGTTGAGGCTGCGGTTATCCGAATTGCCGATATTTTTCTATATTTTAATGTTTATATATATGTTTATATCGTTTGTCAGATTATGTTTTTGCATTCTAGATTCCGATTAGTTTATTAAATTTTTATGATACATTGTTCAATATAATTATGAATATCAAAAATAGCTCCACGTAATCGATAGTTACTTACTAATAAGAATACGAAAGCTGTCATCTCTAAGTGGACCAACCATTTGGTAGAAACAATAACAAATTTGTCTAAATAACACATCTGAGAACTTTACCTATGGCGAAGCACGAAGATATACGTGATAAAATTGAAAGTGGAATCTATAAGTTAGCGACAAATGATAAAAGCACAAGAAGCACTGTTTGGCGTGTGTATCGAAAGATTGAGAAGGAGGACGGCAAAATATTAGAGCACGTCTTGTATTGCACTGGATGTAAAAATCTAATGTCCTTTACCCATAAATCAACCACAAATTTGAGGCGCCACAAGTGTCATTTGCAATATTTAAAAAAACAGACGTTTTGCAATGGATATTCAGACGCAAACAGCTCAAAGGAATGGTTCAAAGACGACGAAGGAGAAATGTCAGTGGAAGACATTTTACTGGAAGCTGAGTCCGAACTTAAAGTGGACAACGAAGAGAGTTGCGACGCCCAGACAATGAGTGATGAGTTGGACAAGAAACCTACATCAACGGACGTTGCTGCATTTATGGCTCTCCGGAGCGCTGGTGTTGGAGCTGAGCCAAACGATAGTTGCGTGGACACTGGATCACTCGTTCAACAATCGAAATCCAACGATGATCCACTAAATGTTGGCGTTTCAAGCATTCCAAATCCAAGTTCACGTCTTTCTGAAGCCTTTGTATCCCACGACGTAAGTGGGGCTGAGGAGTCAGCAATTTACGCACAAACTTGGTCATTGGAATACCGAAAACTTACTGAAGAACAAAAGTTCTATGCCAAAAGGGCAATCGATGAAATTTTTGTGCTGGGCCGACTTAGACGTTTAACATTAAATACGGTACCGCCGGTTACCGAGTGAAATAGTGCACAAATATTTTTTTTACCTATACGATAATTGTAATTTACTTATTTTTAACGGAATATGTTTGTAGATAATGTAAATATTTATTAGGTTAATTCTGTGGTCTCGGCTTATAAGATATTAATAAATGTAGAAAGTAGTCTGTGGAAGACTAGATTTTCCCACCAAGGCATATTATAAATATTAATTATTTGTTTTATGTTGTCAATAAAAAATATAAATTAAGAAAATGAAAATAATACTTTTACAGTGTTGTTAAACACTGAAAGAGATTCTATCCTAATGTTAACATTCCAATACATTAATTTAAATGTTAACAGCAAACTCTTTATTGCATATTTATTACCAAATTAACTTTATTGGTATCACTGCTTAGTGTTTCTATGAAACGACTTAAGGACTTCAAATTCATCTGCAATGTATACCTTTCCATTTGAGTAATTCTATTTAACGCATTAACATGTACAAGTATTTCATGTTATGCTCCCTGTTACTTTGACATTCTGTTAGATTGAGCATACGCGTGACGCGTCTAGATTCTAAAAGCAAAAATTATTTTTTTTCCGGTTGGTCACAGACAAGTTGATTGTATTACAATTGGATTAAAATGACAAGCAGACGTCCATTATATAGCAATCGGGAACTTGGTGGCTCCGGATCGCCCACTAGAAATGTGTTAAGTAGAAGTCCACGTCCTGATAGCTACAGGGAAAATATGAATGCAGATGAAGATGAAAATGAATTCGATGAATCGAATAATGAGCCAACTAATGAAGAAGGCGTGGAGACAGACTCAAATGAAGACGATTCAATGGATCAGAGTTGCGGCAACCCATCAATACAGCATAATCAGACACATCCCCAAACAGCACAGGCAATAAGGTCAAGAATAGCCCAAGGGACCGGCGCGCAACGACCACGAGAGACAAGCCTTCAACGACGACCAGAGACAAAACCACTGGCAACAGCGCCGCTGGCTAACTTAAAAATGAAATCATTTTCACCTTCTCAGTTAATGAAATATTCTATTATTATCATATTGCCGCTCATTGCCTACTCACAATATTACAAGTCGGAGCCGCAAGTGAAAACCTGTACATTCGAGAAATTGAAGCAACGCGCTCCTTCGCAGTCGACGGATGTGTGGAAGGCGCTGAGGTGCAACATTGAAGATATGCTAAACAAGAAGAGCAAATCGCCCAATGTTTACTTGTTTTTATACACGAATGAAAGCAACGAGTCTGAAATGCAAAAACTGGTCAACGATATAGCACTGGAAACGTCCAAGTGTTTCAGTAAGCAAATGTGAAGAACAAGCAGAGTCCACTGAATTTATATATACTTTTTTAATAGATGAAAAGCCACTTGTAAAGATGAGCTTGAAGGATTTCGAAACGCAGACCGGAGATGATTACGGCTTTCCCATTGAGCAGTACAAAAAGAAAATCAGAGACGGCAATGTTTTCCTCATTGTGGATCTAAATGATGTGAGTAGTGGCTTAAGATATTTGATAGACTATTCAATTAATTTCGGCTCTCAATCACAGATACCTCCAAATGCGGCACGTGCACTGCACACCATTTGCGACACCTACAGTCCTATCGCTCCGGATGTTGTCATCTTTCTGACACTGCGCACTCATCTGACGACAAATGCTGGAACTCCAGTCCAATTAGCCCATCACACATTGCATGAGCTCTGGAAGGAGTTACCCAATAATGAACTGGATGCACTAATCACACGAGTCACCGATCAGGTGTTGCTGTTGCAAAGCTAAGCTTAACTTACTGATATGTGAGACTTTATTTCGGTTATGAACAAATCAAATAAATTAGTTTTTAATATCTATCCACCATAACTCAAGCAAAAATGCCACCACACTGCAGGACATGCCAAAGCACCACAACATGACCAGGCCCATGAAATTGTCAATGCCCAGCTTAACGGGTCCAATATCAAAGTTGGGTCTTTTTGAGGATACGATGCGATTTTGCCTATGGGCATTCATGTAGTCAGCCACGATTTTCCACTCCCAGTACTTGTCAAATCCGGATGAATGCCAGGCGAGCGTGAAGTCATTATGAATGCCACATAATGGCCACAAGCGGGGAACGTACGCATTTGTGTAGGAAAAGAAGAGATCATCCACCATTAGTTTGAGTCGCGGCAAAGCATTATCAGGAATCAATTCAGCGTTTGCCACGTGTCCAAAAAGCATTCGCTCGACCACAAAGCCCATCTGTTCAGTGCGGGATTTCGCTGCCATGGTCGCTGCATCATTTACACGATAGTGCTCGAAGATTCCCAGTAAGACGGGCTGCAAATGCCAAAGGGTAAAAAAGCTCGCAGAGCAAAAATCACACTGACTCACATCATCATCATTGTTAACATCAATGGTGGTTATCCAGGCATAAGAAGTCCCTGTCCAGGTCATCTTGTGCTCATAGAGACGTTGCCGCGAATCAGCAGCTTCCTCCAATTTCGGCAGCGTCAGTATGGATGCCAATCCCCCACCATAAACGGTGGTCAAGATTATGTCGATCATATAGCTCGCCAGCAGGACAGTGCGGAGTGCATACGATTTGGCTACATAATGAGTGCTCTGGTTAACAAACAACTTGAGCGTGCTGACATAAGCAAAGCGCAGACTCTTTCGCCAGCGCGGCTCTGAAGCTGAAAACTCGCAGTGATGTGTGCCGGCTAGAGCTAGGCATTCTAAGGCAAGGCAAATGACGACACATAGCCACAGCTTGGCCTGGAATGGCTGCAGCGGCAAAGCCCAGTTGATAATTCTACGCGGCGCCGGCACTAGACATGTTATACCAGAACGTCCAAGAAAACTTGACATATCCATTTGCTTATAGGCTTCGTACCACATAAACAAGCCGCCCATGGCGTAATCAATTGTTCTGTTCACCACCATGCCCATCAATCCAACGCCTGTATCATTTGGATAGAGGTCGCCCCACTCGGATTTTTCGCCTGTGGATAACAGTTGATACATAAATGATAAAATGGCATGTGTATGTGTATGTATAAATATAGAGTCAAATATCGCTCTCTTCGCTTGGCAATTCTAATGAGAAATGAGCAGCGCTCTAGCGCCCGAGCACTGAGCTCTATTAAAGGGAAGATGCTACAAAAAGTTTTGTCTGTCGTAGTGCTCCGCTTTGAGTGCACTTGTAGCTCTCTGAGCTCAACTTGAGTGGAATGATGTCAGCTATAAAAGGGCAATGCTGCCCTATAAATCGATCAGTAATTTCTCTGATCTGCTGCTTATCGGTCGAAGTGCTCATCGTTTGCTTTGTGGGTCGTCAATTTATATGAAGCTTACGATCAATACAAATACATACATACTTGTATCTATTTGCAGAGTGCAATTGTAAATTTCGCAGAAAGTGAGTATGACACGGACCTCGGTGCCATCGGCATGCGCCTCTGTTTTATTGGAAGCGCGATCGAACATTGCTGGTTGTTTTTCCTGAATAAATAAAACTATAAAAATCTAGAAAAGAAAAAACCATAAATAATAACTATTTTCACTTACATAGCTAAGTAGCATAAATGGTTCATAATTAAATAGACCCAACACAACTTCGCGTCCTTGTAAATTTTTCATTTTACTTGATAAATCTTTAGCACTATTCCATATAACCTTTTCGGCTTGGGCATCATAAATATGCTGTGTATAAAAATGTGGTTTGCTCTCAAATCGAGAACCAACAAAGCGATTGGTTTTAATTTCAAATATGCTCGAATTACGTAGTTTGGCGTTGACCAAAAGAATGTTCGGTTGATCTGTAACGAGGAAAAAAAGGTCAAAGTTACAGGAAAAAGAGAAGAGTTTTTATCAGCTTACCAAGAAATAGGTAACCATTCATATAACTATCAGATTCCATAGGCTTTTCAAGCAACTCATCGGTGTACACAAAGATAAAATAATTTTGAATCGACCGCCAAATTGAGTAAGTGCTTGCTTTATAAAAATTACGAATAAATTGCGGTATATGCTCCTGAAACACTACAAAGCTCTGTAATTTAAGCAAATAAACGCATTAATTAATTATTAAAAGGAAAACAAATTGTATATAAATTATCATAGGCTAATTTGAATAGTTTTTTATTGCAACCAGTGCTGCATAAAATATTTGCAATATTGCCTTTTTTTTCTGATAGCAAAATCATTTTTGCAATTTGCTGGTCACACTGTTTGGCCATAAATCAAAAACGTGCGTCACCCTAACAACCGATTGTAAACAATGGAGAAGTTTGGGTTGGCTTGTCCGTTGGCATTTCTAGCCAGCAAGCCGCAGCGAATTAGAACAAATATATTGGATTTAAATTACGACTGCTATGTGCATATATTCTCGTATCTAACCGCGCTCGAGGACAAATTAAATTTAGCCCGAGCTCATCCGCAATTTCGCGAAGTCTTCGCACGTGACGCGCCTCGTCGTTTTGTTAAGATAAATATGCGGATGCTGAAATGCCTTTCCGATTGGGAATATCTGTTGAAGCTGTGCGGTGACTGTGTGCTCGAGTGCGAGCTACGCCATGGACGCTGGGACAATAATATCACGCAACCGTTCATATGCCTCCTAAACACGCACTGCCAGAATTTGCGGCATTTGCATCTCATATTCGCGCACTCCGATCTAAAGCCACCGGCTGAGGGGGATCTAAATATTTTACAAGTGCTTGAACGGAAGAATCTGCATAGCCTCAGCCTAATCGACGCTAAGGCAGCTGATGGTGAATATGATAAAATATCGTATAGACATAATGGACAAATTTCATTAAGCATTTGGAGTTCAATCAAAGAATCAATTGAGGTTTTCTGCTTTCATTACTTGAGTGCCAATAATACTTATTGATATGAGTTACTAAGAAACCTAAAAGTTGAATCAACAATAATATTGCTAACTTTTTATAATGACAAATTAAAAATTTTGTTATATTTGTAGTATTTATCAATATTTTTGATTCATCTTTTAGATCTAAAATTTCTGAGAATCGCGGAGAACACGATATCTAGTTAGCAAAGAAACTTTATAAAGTGAATCTTATTGAATAAGAATCAGAATTCAATTAAATATGTGAGCTCATGTAAATAGTGATAAATAGTGATGAATAGAGTCTACATAGCACATTTCCCAATCTTCAACAGTTCTACAGCTGCATAGCTTTACTGAACTAGAGGCTTTGCATATTGATGGCTTCGATGCTGAGTTAACAAACGAGGATATCGTAGAGCAGTTCAAGGCTTTATCAGGATTGCGTCGACTTTCGCTACGTTTCGTTTCGCGGCGTCAGTTGCCGCCTCTGGCTATCCATTGCCCGCTGTTGGAGCACCTGTCCTTGGAGAACTTTGAAGGCACTCTGGGGGATGTGGGTGACTTTCCCAGACTGCGATCTCTCCGATTGCTTTGGCGTTTGACAATACGTGTGAACAGTCAGCTCTTTCGATCATTGGCAAAGCGTTATGCGAACCGTTTGGAGCAGCTGCAGCTAACGAAAGTCAATTCGGAGTACGTCGAGCATATAGTAATGCTTCAAAGTCTGAAAGCGCTCACCTGCTACATGTGGCCGGCCACACTACTTGGATACATAAGCAAATTGGAACAACTCGAGTGCTTGGCATTACAGTGCACCGAGCCGCCAGCTCACATGATGCAATTGGTGGATGTGATTGCCAAGTGCACAAAGCTCCAACACTTAAAGCTGGGCAAGCGCTGGGAACTTGAGGAATGGAGTAGCTTTCTAAGCGCCTTAGAAGAAGAGTTGCGCAAACAGACATCAAATGGAGCACGGGGCCAGCTAATGTTAACACTAGAGCAATCAACATCGAAAGCAACACAAAACCAGGTAGAATTACCTATCATATAAAACTCTTTTCTTTTAAACCAAGCACAGAATTTCTATTTTCTCTTTTTTCAGTTAAGTGATACTGTAAATTCGCGATTGTTGCAATTGGATTGGCTTGGCACCGCGTGCTCGCTGTGTACACCCGATCGCCATACGAAGCCAACGATTCCAGGCTTAAATTGGCTCTGAAGGACTTACCTCGCAATGCGTCTGCTCGATGGCCACCGTTACCCGCAAGATCCAATCGTTGTAGGGCAAATTATGCTCCTCGAAATCCAGACGCTTTGGTTCATAGTTATAAAAGTCGTTGTCCTGGCCTGGTATAAACCATTTCCCTGGCTCCAAAATGAGCAAAGCCAGTGGCTCCGTTGTCCTCAGTTGTATATCGAACGCAGAGTGCCACAATAGACAAGTGGCATGTGAATCGATCAAATATTGTTGTGCTATATTCAATAATTTCAACCAACAAAATTAGTTTCAATCATAAGAAACGAAACTCACCGAGAAAACTTAAAACGGTGGACCAATAGTTTGGTTCCATCAACATGTTGACATCAAGTTCTGTGTTATTATAAAACCCAAGCTATTGCTTTATATAGCCATCGGAGAGGTTGCCAATGACGGCTAAATTACATATCCATTGTGGATTATAGCTTGTCATCAAATAATTGCTAATCAAATATTTAGAAAGCATTTAGAGAAATATATATATGCAAGCTAGCTTTAAATATTATAGAAACCCTGGATATGGAATAGTTGTTAGTTCCAATTCAACAAAATCAAAAACATTTATTTATGAAAACTATTTATTTATATTGTAGTTAATATGTATAGTAATTTAAGTTAAAAACAAAACATATACATACTCTGATATATTTAGTACAAATTAAATAAAATAGCTCTTTATTTAAACTAATTATTCTGTAGCTCAATTTATAAATTTGTGAAAATAAAAAATTTGGACTCCAAATTTTGTGGCCGAACATTAGGTAATAAAGTTAAACTTATTCAAAGAAGGAGCTATGCTCTAAATATAGGTTTGGAAAAAATATAGTTTATGCTTTGGAAAATATAGAAAACAAAACAAGATGAAACCATTTCATATATAAATATTTGTACTTAAAATAATCAAGCTTAATTAAAACCAGACACGATTTCACGATATAAATTTAAGTTATAGAACATTTTTATAAAGTCAGAAAATATCAGTATATGCATATATATTTTTTATATATAAATTTCCTTTAAATGGAGCCCTAGTCAATGTTAAACGATTTCAATTTAATGTGCCAAGGTAATTTGATCTATTAACTGCATGAATGACATATTTATTTAAATAAATATTCATATATATATATATATTTATATGTATATCTGTGTGTATGTGTGGTAACCATTATCGCGAGTAAACATATCGTTTAAACAAATTGTGAATAAAAGTAATTACTAACTAAATAGAAATTATAAAGCAGGTAAAAAGCGTGGGGATTGTAGTATAGTAAGGTCCAGCCATGTCATCCGGTATTTGCTGTGTACAGTAAAACAATTGATGCGTGTTTGAGACAATTTCGTAATCCAGTTGTCTTTCTTTCCAGTTGTTTTTCCGCGTGGTAACATTTGGGATTAGCTTAGTTTTCAGTTGAACTAAATGTGGGTTAGGCCTTAACAGTTACTCCGCCATTGCCCAGTGACTTCATCAGTTGATAGCATTCCTTCAGCTTACGCTTGTCGCCCACTTTCTCTAGCGTTTTGGCTGCCTCGGCTAATAGACCAGCACGCTCGCCCGGCGAACTTAAGAGTGCAGGTGGCAGGTACTTGCAGGCCACATACATGGCTGCTGCTCGCTCCCGTTCCCCGCCCTCAAAGTTCTGATGTCGTCGATCTTTGCTGCCGCAAAAGATAGAAGATTGGGCATTTCGCGAACGCAGACTTCTATCTAGCAGCTGCTGCGTGGGGCATGGTGAGGCGCCGGCCATTAGGCGGCAAACGGCCTCATACAAATAAATACGCGACTGAGCGTTCTGCGAATAAATATAATAAATAAATAATTAGTCTGTGATTCGCTAGATGTGTTCCCACTTGCTTACCGGTATATTTTCAACAATGCTGCGCAGTGAATTCAAATCCGTTTGGAACTTCTCGAGCACATCTCCAGGTACCTGATAGTAACCATCGTCATCGATGCCCATGTACTCCAGCTCCCACAAGGCCGTGCGTGTCTCCAGCAACCAATCGCAGGTCAGCAACTGGAACAGCTAAATCAAACATATTTCATTAATCATCTTGATAACATACATTATCTTTATTCTAAGGTGTCCGACGTTGCGAGTGAACTGCACGGAGCTTGCACTGCAGTTGTATTGCCGCAGAGAATAAAGGATACAGACAATGCGACTACAATGCACCTCCGTCACAGCTCCAAAGATGTCGGAATGCTGCATAAACGGGGCAGTGCTCCAGCTTACCAATTTAATACCCTTTGCATTGGTGATACGATTGACCGTAAGGCATTCTTGAAGTTGGGCACTAGACTCATCGCAGAGGCGGTTGATCGAATGCTTAAGGCGTTTATCCAAAGTGTTGCCATTGTTCCTGCAAGTCGAAGAAGAATATAAAATACAGGCTACGTACAATTGTATAGAGAGCGTATCACATACATGAGCAATATCATCTTGGCGCGCAGCACTGCATGCAGAGCTTTGGGCAGCTGATCATTGTCGCTACAGTGTTGCAGTTCCGTCGGCAGCTGCTTAATGCTATCATACAATTTTTCCGCCAGCGTGTCCTCTCCTAACAGCCAGTGCACAGCAATTTCCAGGACATTGGCCCACCAGACAACATTGGTGTCGCGCTCATCCTCGTCGGCCCATAAAGTATCCCGCAGCAGGGAGGTATACTTCAGCACATTGCTTACGATGGTGCCGCTATGTTGCTGCTGCAATTGTTCTGCCTCGCTGCCAGTGTTGTTGTTGTTATTATTGTTAGGCGTTGCTTTGTTTTGTCTATGTGACCCGGCGCCCACCAAGCACTGGATTGCCTTGTACAGCAAATGCTCGCGATATTGCTGTAAAATAAAAATAGTTAGTGACGAGTAGCTTATGAAAGAAATCCATTCCCTTACCTTGATGGCATATGCAGCCGGATCGCAGGGATTGCGCAAGCGTGTGAAGAAGCCATCCTGTTCGCCAGCGCTGAGTTCGTAATTGAA